ACTTTTCAAAGATAATGGCCAAAGGCTCCTCAGTGACATTTGCCAACTCCCTCAGTACCCTCGGATGCATTAAGTCCGGACCCATGGATTTAGCTTTTCTAAATAGTTCCTAACTTGTTCTTTCCTCACCAAGGGCTGTCCATCTTCATCCTATCTTGTGTCACTTAGTGCATTAGTCTGGTAGCCGACCTTGTCCATGAATATAGAGGCAAAGAAAGTATTGAGTACTTCAGCTTTCTCCACATCATCTGTCAATAGGTTACCTCAATCATCCACTAGGGGCCCCACACTCTCCCTGATCACCTTCTTCATGTTAGAAAAAGAGGTAACATAATATTTAGATTTGTTGGTGACCCAATTATGAACTTTATTCCAGTGTCTAATAAAGAATGTGTTAGAGCAGCGGTTCTCAGATTTTATGGGCTCCAGAGCCCTTTACATGTGTAAAAATATATGCGGAGCCCCAGTGGTCCACTGATTGTATGTGTTGTACCTATCGATGTTTCCAGTTTGTCAACCTCATGGAGCCCCTGGAGAGGGCTCCGCAGAGCACAGTTTGAGAAGCACTGTGTTAGAGAATTGAACATCCAAAATAAAATTTAAAAAGAGGTAAAAGAAAGACATTGAAATAAAATTGAAAGAAGTATGTTTGTGAGTGGGAGCTGATGGGATCACAGTAGCATAGTTAGGTTGCACATGCCATTTATACTCTGTGCATTTGTACAGATGTATTTTGGCCCCAAACCAGTGAATAATTTAAATGGGCTTAAAGTTTGCACATGAGTGGATGTGCCTTCCCTGGATGTCTGTGGAAGTACTCTTGAGTTAAAGTTAACAACAACCTAAGGCCATGTCTACTGCCATCTATGCTACCATTTTCATCAGCATAACTTACGTTGCTTAGTATTTCTTTTCTCCTTCTTTGTTCAGAGTAGGGATGTGAAAGGTTATCCAGTTAATCAGTATGTATCACCCTAAATGGGTAATGCTCCCCACCTGCCATAGGCAGAGGGCTACTCCAGCCCCTCGGGGCTTGCTGCGGACTCGTTGCTCTCATGGGGGCTGGGAGCCAGGAGGTGGTGGCAACTCCTGGGAACTGCTTTAGCTGGGTTGGAGCAGTCCCCAGCCCAGGATCCCGCTTTAGTCAGTTAACTGATTAAACACTAGGTGAACCTCCCATTTAACCACTTAGCTAATTAACCAGGATTTTACATCCCTAGTTCAGAGTGTGTGACCCTTACTTACTGTTACCCTTCCATGACAGCGCTCAAGTCAGGTGAGTCATCCCACCAAGTCTCTGTTATCCCAATTAAATCATATTTCTTGGTCTGAGCCAGGGCCTCCAGTTCTTCCTGTTTGTTGCCCAGGCTTCTCGCATTAGTGTACAAACACTTCAGGTAACCAGTTGATTGTCCTATCTTCTCCATTCGAAACATGGGTCCTCCTTTCTTGCCCCTTCCTCTCTGCATTTCTTCCCGGTATCCATCATCCCACCAAGTCTCTGTTATCCCAATTAAATCATATTTCTTCAGTGGGCCAGGACCTCCAGTTCTCCCTGTTTGTTGCCCAGGGTTCTCTCATTAGTGTACAAACATCTCAGATAACCAGTTGATCATCCTATCTTCTCCATTCGAATCAGGGGTCTTCCTTTCTTGCTCGTTCCTCTTGGCATTTCTTCCCGGTATCCAACTTTCCCATTCCCCTCAGGGTTTTGGTCACCGTCCCCCAATTAACCTAGTTTAAAGCCCTCCTCACCAGGTCTGCAAGCCTGCCCACGAAGATGCTCCTTCCTCTCTTGGTTAGGTGGAACCTATCTCTTCCTAACAATCCTTGTGCCCGGAACAAAGTCCCATGGTCGAAGAAACCAAAGCCCTCTCTGCGACACCACCTGCGCAACCACGCATTTACTTCCTGAATTCGACAATCTTTGCGCAATCTTTTCCCTTCAACAGGGAGGATGGACGAGAACACCGCTTGCGCTCCGAATTCTTGGATCCTTCTTCCCAGCATTACATAATCCACAGTAACCCACTCAAGGTCATTCTTGGCCATATCGTTAGTTCCTACATGGAGAAGCAGGAAGCGGTAGTGATCCGAAGGTTTGATCAGTTTTGTAAGCCTCTCAGTCACATCCTGAATTCGAGTTCCCAGTAAGCAGCACACCTCTTGAGTTTCCAGGTCTGGACGGCAGATGGATGGCTCAGTCCCTCTTAGGAGGGAGTCCCTGACCACCACCACCCATCATCTTCTTTTGGGGATGGTGGTTGTGGAACCCCCATCCCTAGGACTACGCATCCCATGCCTTCCAGTAGATGGTGTTCCCTTGCGGTTTCTTCCTTGTGAGGTCCCTTCCGAAGCATTCACCACCGCAGAGCTTGTGGAGAGAGCCTGAAAGTGATTACTTAATTCTATAACATTGGGGGATTCTTGTGTTGGCCTTTTTCCCCTTCTAGAAGTTACATGCTGCCAGTTCTCTTCCTGGTCCCATATTGTCCTCTCTGGCTCTTCCACCTGCCGTGCTTGCAGGATTAAATTCTGCCTTCTGTCGAGGTAGTCTTCATCCTCTCTGATCGAGCGTAGGGGCGACACTTGGGCCTCCTGTCGTCTAATTTTTTCTTCCAAAATGGAAACCAGCTTGCACTTAGTGAAGATGAAATCCGTTCTTTCTTCCTGGAGGAAGACAAACATGGCACACACTGTGCAGGAAATAGCAGATCTATCATCATCCATACTTGCTGTCCTGTTCGCAAGCTCCTTGGTCACTTGCTCACTGCTTTATAAAGCCCTGGACAGCGATCTGCACGAGTTCCTTCGCTGTTTGGGGGAAGAACTTCGCACTGAGAAGTGCACAATCTATAGAAGT